TTGCATTGTCGTCGTGATCCGAACTATGCTGAAAATTTTAAGTCTCTATCTTGTCGGGAAATTAGTTTAACATCGATATACTCCGACGAATTGATAACCTTCACCTTTTTGTGAAGTCGGTTAAAAAGAAATTATACGCGAAACTTTTTTTTTTTGGTGTATATTTTATTGAATAATTCTGAAAATATAGCGCATTATATTTTCGAAGAAATGAATGTTTTTATGTGGTAGACAGACTTGATAGATTTAATTTAAATAGTAGATAAGCAAATTCATTTAGACATTCTGACACTAAAAAAACTATTGAATCAATTAAAAATGCACATACGTTTAGTTTTTGTTCCTGCATTAATCAATTAAATGTCAATGCTCAAAATATATAAAACTTCTTACTTTTTGCTTCAATTTGTCACAAGAACATATGTTCTTCATTCTGATAGTTTGTGTAATTTTAACAAAATTCACCACCGTTTGCGATATCAACTATGCGATACCGCGTTATGAAAAAATTTGCGATATAATATCGCACTACTGGCCAGTTTACTAAGCTCTCATCCTCTGACGAGTCGTTGAACCAGAAATCCGTTGTACTAATTTTTACCACGCTTTTATAAACTCGCTTTCTTTTTTACTTCATTTTAATTTGCACAAATTTACATAAATATATATGTATAAGCACACTATTAAGTTTGCTCGATTTGTAAACAAAGCTTCTCAGTGATGAAAAATATACTATTGTGAACAACCTAAACGAGCGAAATTCACAATAGCGCTATTCTTCATCGAATAGGCGTCATAATACCAAATGAAAATTCGTTCGATCAGCACTTTCGACCACAGTCGAAGATCGAATGCAACTCATAATAGGGGCCATTATCAAGAGTACCGAACAACGCATGTAGTTATATGTATACACATATGTAAATTAAAGAAAACCAATGCGAGTGGATATTAGAGAAAAAATTGCTAAAAAGTCTAATAAATTCATGGATTTCAGTTCCGGAAGAACGTATTTTAAGGGCCTGTGCCAATCGGTAACTTTTTTCTCCGTGGTGAGACGGGGTGGAAAAATTTGCTATGGTGTACAAATAAATTGAATTTTGCTGTGCCAAATGCAAAGTAAAATTTTGACAGTTGAAAAACCATACAAACGCTCATGCGAAAGCTCTATTTTTGTGTGTTGCTGAAATTGTTAAAATTTATATTTATTTTATAACTTGTGCTTTTTCAGCTTTCTATTTCATGTTCACTCCTTATTACCGCCAATCAATATTATGTGTATACATGTGTATAAGCTGTCAAAAGTTTACCTAGCCCCATGAGCGGAGTTTGGTACTGTCGATTTGTTTGTAAGCAAGTGTCTGTACAAGTGAGCGCAGTTTTCAGTGTCCGTTTTGTAGTTCAGTCTTATGTTTGCCGGTGTGTTTATTATGGCTGCGTTTCTTTATACATTCCGGATAAACCCATTTCACAACCAGAATGAACAGAATGCCATTGAAATATACGTTTACATATCATCAGGAACGTTCTAAAGAATAAGTAAACAAAAAAGTTTATTCCAAACGTTCAGAATGAATAAAGAAATACAGCCTATATGTAACATTTCTAAGGTAAAGCGCTTATTGTAGTGTTGTTCTTGTTGTAGAATCGCAGCGTCGATGAAATTCGGTGAGTGGCCGCTAGCTGCCCAGTGGGCCATGAGTGCTGTTTTTTTGATATTTGTAAGCTGACATTGTTTCAAATCCGATTTGTGTTGTGCTAATCTAGTTTTTAATTTTGATTTTGTGGTTCCTACATATAGGCTGTTACATGACTCGTTTTACCTTTACAAGGGATTTTATAAATAACATTACTTTTTTCCAGTTCGGGTATTTTTGACTTCGTTTTATTAAATATGTTTTTTAATGTATTTGTAGGATTGTGGGCTATTTTTATATTATCTTTGTTGCAGCAGTCTGATTTAGCCAGGCGTTCTGACAGATGAGGGACATAAGTTAATGATTTAAATATTGTAGGATATTCTGAGCTATGCTTACTGAATTGCGATTTTGATCTTTTTAATAATGTACTTATGATATTGTCCGGGAAATCATTGTTTTTTAATAATGATCGAATCTCTTTCTCCATCTCTTTGTGGTAAGTTTCGTCCGATATCTCCAACATTCGTCGTATACAGCCCATTGCTGTATTCATTATCATCGGTTTGGGGTGTTTAGAATTAAAATTGATGATTCGTCCTGATGATGTTGGTTTCTTATACCACCTTAATTTTAATTGGTTTCCTTGTCTGATTATTATGGAGTCTAGATAAGCTAATTTTCCGTTGTCCTCTAATTCTATTGTGAATTTTATATTCATTTGAAAAGAATTCAGTGCGTCCAGTGTATTTTGTACCTCATTTTCATTTATTATGGCAAATAAATCATCTACATATTTCGTTAATAATCTTGGTGGTCGTCCTAATTTTTTAATCGTGTTATCCAACAACTTTTCCATTATAATATCTGCAATGACAGGTGAGGCAGGGGATCCCATTGGCATTCCTTTTAACTGGGTATATATCGTGTCGTTAAATTTAAAGTACCTATTTTCTTGAATACAAAATTTTACTATTTCCATAAAAAATTGTTTTGGTATCCTTGTGGGTTCTTTTATTATTGTCCATTTTTCTTGTATTACGTCAAGTGCTAGTTGTATCGGTATGCTCGGAAAAAGTGAGACCACATCGAAGGAAATTAGTTTTTCATCGTCACAAATGTAAGTGTTGTTTGTCCTGTGCTTGAAATCCAGCGTATTCTTGATATTATATACTGAGTTTACCGTTACGTTTTTTAAAATATTTACAATATATTTACATAGACCATATGATGGCGATCCAATGGATGAGCAAATGGGTCTAAGCGGTGTTCCTTCTTTGTGTATCTTAGGGAGCCCATAAATTCTTGGAGGTAACGCGGTGGTTGAGGTGAGCTAATTCCGTTCGGCTTTTGAAATAATTTCCATTTTATAAAGTTTGTCGACTAAAATATTATTTTTATTTTGTAGTCTCGATGTGGGATCCTGTCTTTGTATTCTATACGTAGTTAAGTCACATAATATATCTGCCATTTTACTGTTGTAGTCATTTATTTCCATTGCTACCGTTTTGTTTCCTTTGTCAGATGTTAAAATTCGAATGTTGTTATTTTTCCTCAGAAATTTCCGCGTCCGTTCCACTGTGTCTATAATTGCACACTCTTTTGCACTTTGCTTATTTGTTGTTTTGTGGTCTTTTATTAAGAATGATAATTTGGTACGCGCCTCTTCTTGTTGCTCTTTGTCCTTAAGAGTTTGTATCAGATCTTCTCCATCCGCGATGTACTGAAAAAGAGGGAATCTTTTGTTCTCAATTGGTAACCCGAACTTTGGACCTTTCGACAGCAATGATTTCACGTCTGGCGGGAACTCTACTTTCGTTTTATTTACAAACCAATCTTCATGCTTGTTGTTGTCGACAAAGATATTGTTTCGTTTGTTCCGCAATTTCTCATATTTAAATTCTTGTCGCTTTTTCAGTGTTGTTGTAAGCTTATCTGCGACGTTCTGCTCACTCTCCATGAGTTCTTTTAAGTCATCTGCGCTCAGCTGTTTCTTTAATTTTGTTGCTATTTCTTCCACCTTCTGTTTTTGTTTTCTTAATGTGTTATGTTTATGTTTGATCAGTAGACTTAATATTTTTATGTGGTAGTAATGTGTATGTCTGGCTAAAGTTCTGTCTATTTCAGGATGTGAGTCACAGTCAAACACAAATAATTTCTTACATCTAGTAGAATTCTTTATAAAGTTAGGAATTAATTTTGATTTTCTGCATTTTAAAAGAAATTTGATGCTAGACTTAAGTTTTACCAGCTTTTTGGATGCAGATTGATATTTGTTTATTACTGCTTTAGAGTTGTCATAATTGTTCTTTATTTTCGCATATCCCATTTTTGTTGTTGTATGCTTACGGCGTGCCTTCCGTCTTTGTAGACTGATGGTTTTAGCGACCTTTCTACTTATAATTAAGTTTTTTGCTTATAATTAAGTTTTGTCAATGTTATTGTCTGAAGTCTGATGAGGAGATGTGGTGATCTCCGAAATAGTGCTATAACTTCTACCGCTTAGACTTTGTTGCTTTTTCAATTTTTCCTAATAAAAACAATCGTGGTACAAAGCTCAATAAAAATATTAAAAATAAAATGTTAACAAGCCACAATAACATTGACAAATACATAGTTTAGGAAGAGCCTGCCTGAAACTATACAAAAAAGCAAATAAGCAAATGGATGTATAGAATTGACAACAACAACCACGCTGTCGAGTTTAAATAGCGGCAAATCAGCTGCACTTGATAGTAAGTAGTTGGTTGAATAAGGAAAATGAATTAGCAACAAGAGTTTACGGGATGTACATAGCTCAGTGGTTAACGCTTCTGACTTTGAACATCGAATTCGCAGGTTCGATTCCTGCTGAAGTCTAGAAAAAAGAAGTCTGATGAGGAGATGTGGTGATCTCCGAAATAGTGCTATAACTTCTACCGCTTAGACTTTGTTGCTTTTTCAATTTTTCCTAATAAAAACAATCGAGGTACAAAGCTCAATAAAAGTATTAAAAATAAAATGTTAACAAGCCACAATAACATTGACAAACTTTTTTATTCTTTATTCAAAATCGCCCGATATTTAATTTGGCATAACTTCTTTTATTAAAAAATCCCACGGTTTCTGTTAGTTGGGTCATATTCCACTTCAAACTGCTCAGTTTGCCTAAGAAAATTCCGTTTTTCCCCCTTATTCAAACGGTTCCCTAGGGGCCTGTGGGTAGGGATGCAAACGATGCATCGATGTTTCTGAAACATCGATAACATCGGCCAAAAAACCGATGTTTACCATCGATATTTGCAAATTACTCAACATCGTAAAATTGGCGATATATCGATGTCAATTTTAACGATGTTTTAAACATCGACTTTAGTTTCGGTTCAAAATTGCCATTGCGTTCACCCCTTTATGTTATATTCTTTGGGTAAGCGTATTACGGGTGATGGCAGCCCTGCACTTAATAAAAGCAATCGGCCATTATAGTTTCTTTTTTTCTTCTGATGATGCTGCTGAGCATGGACATGTAAAAAATGTGAGAAATCTTATAATTATAACCAAATAATTTACGTTATGCATTAAATATACAGGTACGGAGATTCTACGTTTGTTGCTGAATAGAGGACTAACATATAAAAGATAATTGGAAAAAGGATTAGAGACAAACACGTGGATATTGTTGGCGTAAATTAAAACAGAAGTGGTATGTTTTGTCATTCCCACCATGCGTTTGTATTATTGTGCTCATTCAATCTATTATGCAAGTTCCAAATATTTCTTGCGTCTACGACTATATTATTTTATAGCTCATTTAATTGTTTTAAAATTTTCTAGATATAATATCGATTATTTACTAGAAGACTGCCATAACTCAAAAACGGTATTTTTTCATAAGAGGCGTTTAATGTTTACAAAATGCAGAAAATAAGAATGAATATTGCCTTTTTATGCTGCTGAGCATGGACATGTAAAAAATGTGAGAAATCTTATAATTATAACCAAATAATTTACGTTATGCATTAAATATACAGGTACGAAGATTCTACGTTTGTTGCTGAATAGAGGACTAACATATAAAAGATAATTTGAAAAAGGATTACAGACAAACACGTGGATATTATTGGCGTAAATTAAAACAGAAGTGGTAAATTAAAACAGAAGTGGCGTTTAAAGTTTACAAAATGCAGAAAATAAGAATGAATATTGCCTTTTTATGCGGAAACTACAAAAGATCTTAACATAAATTTTGTAAATCACATGAAGCATGATATTATGAGTAATTATGAATTTTTTCCTAAAAAATATGAGTCTTACAGCCGGTTTCACCAGCAATTTAAATGGAAAATGATTTTTTATTTTGTCAATTTCCATATAATATTCAAAAAATTAAAATAATTTTTCACTTACATTACTTTCGTGAAATTGGCTGTTAGTAAATGAGCGATAGATATTTAGCTATAATATGTATATACATATATATATATCGATGGCTGAGTGGAAGATCGACCTATCTCGGCAGCCAGTTCGAAAACGCTCTATCTCAAAAAACTTTTCAAGAACGCCCTATCTCAGCTGCCGATTCAAAAACGCCCTAAATCAGCATATTTTCAATACATTTTGAAGTGAGATAGGGCGTTTTTGAACCGAATTTTGAGATAGAGCGTTTTCGAACTGGCTGCCGAGATAGGTAGATCTTCCACTCAGCCATCGATATATACTATATATGTATACATATTTTAGTTTATGTGTGTAGTTATAGTATATATCGTTACCTTAATACAGAAAGGCCTTATCTCACATCGTCGCTGAAGTACAAAAGCCCGTAATTAACTAAAAATCCAAAAATCACTTTTTGATTGATTATGATGCGTTGCATCGAATTATAAGTACGTTACAACTTTTTTGCATTTCAGCGACAATTTGAGATAGGGCCTTTATATATTAAGGTACCGATATGTGTTTTTATATATACACTTCTGCTCATATATTGCACACCGTCTTCAAAAGGGGCACAACTCAAAATTACACGTTCGTCAGAAAATGCGAAAAACTATTTCTTAGCACATGATAATCATATGGGCAAGGGAGACTTTACCTTAGGTTTTTTTTAACAAATTATAACAAAAATTTGCTCCAGTTTTTGCTGAAAGGTAAATAAAAGCTCTGTGTACATTTTTAGCGCATAATTTCAAAAATGCCAAATTTTGAGTTGTGCCTCTTTTGAAGACGGTGAGCGATATATAATTAAGATATCTATATGGTGAAGTATAATTTTGCCAATAGAACTGTTTTTGGGACCTACTATCAAAGGCAATGGATATAGTGTATGGGGTGGACCTCGAGTTTAAACAATTATAGGCTTTGTAACCCAATAGTTTGTTTTTAATCAAATAATTCAGAAATTTCAAAATATTATTTTGTGTTT